TCCTCCACCTCCTCCTTTAGTGGAGCCCAGACCTTTCTGTCGCCGTTAGCATATTCAGGGTGTCAGTGTAAGCCCTCCGAGTTCTAGAACAATTGCGTTCCACCTTCGGCATTTGACATCGTGCCGCATGTCTCCTCCTCTCCCGTCGAATAACTTTCGCACGGGCCTCAACCTTGCGACCTTCACTCAGACGAGGTGCATTACGTTTGAGGGCTTGATGTTTCCAATGTGGCTCCGTCTTGTCGTGGGGTCCAGCCCTGGGGTTCTCATCGGTTAGAGGGATATCCAGAGATGTCGGCATCATGTTCGAGCTGACCGTGTCGAGTATTTATGTCAGGCACTCTCATCTTCCATCAAGGGCGAGCAACGATTTGGAGAGGCAATTCGAGACGACTTGACATCCATGATACACACATTGTATCGTATATGCGCACTGAATGGTATATGTGTTTATATATAGATATATCTATACATGTCCATATTTGCCAACATAAAAGTGTACGTGAGGATCTGCTGGTCTCTGATGGATGAGTCACTGCTTCTGGGTACCAGGGCGCTCAGCGAGAACCGATGACATCTTCAACTTGCAGGGAGCCTTTATCACTGGGATCACACTCCTGACCTACTTTCGGGACAGACAAGCACACGTCCGCATCCTGCTTGTCCAGACGCTTCGAGACCCGAATGTAGTCTAAGACTGTTTCCTCAGCTATCCGTGCACTGCTACGTGGTCCGTCGATCTCCAAACGTTTTTCGAGTTGAAGCTCCAACTCACCATAGAACTATAGGAATTCCTGCCGCATGGAATCCCGCCACTTTCCTTGTTTAGCCTCGAAGCCTCGTCCTGATACCACCGACATCCTCATCCAAGAGCCCGTCCCCAGTGAGTGCGTGGGTGCTGGGGGAGAGTCAACGTTCGCACCAGTCAGGAACATCCTATCATTCGGCTTGTTGGGGTGTGCGGGGTGGTGGTATCAAAGCTTGAATGAGATGTCACCCTATATTTTCATGCAGCTCATTTTCAACATCAGTTTGTCTGTTCAGTTCACTGTGGTGAGCATCCTGAAGGTGAACGTGAGCGAAAACGACTCACGCTCGAAAAGAAAATAATGAGGTATTTCTTTCCACAGTACGAGGCTCTCATGTCACCATGGCCACGTTGCCGGGAGGATGAGGATGAGGATGAGATGGAGGAGGAGGTGAAGGAGGAGGAGGATCGATGGGGTCGCGGGCGCGAAAGGGTCCTGAGGCCCATTTTTCGGCCAGCATCGGAAGCTCTTGCCGGGTAGGTCCAGCAGTTGCTGATTTGGGGAAGACTGGTAGATTGGCCTTGATACCGCATTGCAAGTTCTAGACGCCTTGCGTATTCCTCCCAGCCTGGGGTCGGTTGACCTCTGGGTCATCCCCCACCGTGCGGGTCCCCCTCCCCGGCGGTCCCCAAGCGGGGTCCTCCTGCTGACCAAACTTGCGACCGTTAGTCGCCTCCTCGTCCGCCCCTGGCGCGACTCCCCCCTGCGGACGTCGGCGCTCTTGCCAGCTCCCTGCGCCCGGGTGGCCCGCCCTCTTGCTCTTTCCCCCCTGCCCGCCGCCCCTCGCTCGCCCTCCCTGCGGCCCCTCCGGGGGCCGCCCCAGCCTCGTGCCCAATACCGCCTGGCGCTCGCCCAGCTGGGGCTGACGGCTCGCGCCAGGCTTCCCAGTGCGCCCTTGTCACTGGGTCGCTTGTGGCTCTTCGCCCCTCGGCGCCGGGCCACCCCCCTTGCCCCTTGCCCAGCGTGGGTCGCTCGGGGCCTCCTCCAGCGCTCTGCCCCCGTGTCTGACTCGGGGTTTCTGGGGCGTCCGGGGCGTTTCACTGCCGTGGCCTGCTCCCCCGTGGCGCCCCGCCGGCGGCCCTTGCCCGAAGGCGCCGCCTGGGCTCCTCCTTGCCGCATGGCTGGCGCGTACCGTCCCTCTTGGGTGTCCGCCTGCCCTCTGCTGCCCCTCCGTCTCGGCCTTCTGACCCTTCGGCCCGCGGACCCCCCCCGGCCTGGAGTCGGCTGGCTTCTCGGTCATCCATTTCCGTGCGGGTTTCTCCCCGACGGTCCCCCAGCGGGGTCCTCATATCTCGGACCGCGTGCGCCCGCTACCCACCCGGCCGGCATGCTGTCTCGACACCTGTCCCTGACGGTGTCTGGCGATCCGGATTCTGGCCCGTTGAGCGCCCGCATGGCGTGGGTCGATGCCTGCCGGGGCGTACGACACGGCCGCCACTTGCATCAGCGGTACTTTTGGTCCTGGCGCTGGAGGACTTGGTGTGTTCTGTCGGTGTTTTCCATCCTGTGCACGCTCGAGGTGTCGTTCAACATAGATTCTCGCCATTTTGGTGTTGCAGCTCGCCTGGATGGCGCCTTCCTTTTTGGGGTCTCTTGGATTCGTGTTGGATGACGTATGGAGCCATCTTGGACCTTTTTGCGCCATGTTGGAGGCATTGTTTGTTTCTTCTTCTGACCATCTTGGAATCATGTTGGCCCACAGACTTTCAATGATGCCCACGATATGCCATAATCATTGAACACCGTTTGCTTTCAAGTGTTTGGCTTTGACCAAAAGAGGTGCGAACTTAACCCTGTCCGTGTGGAGCCTGAGAGGTAGCTTCTCGGTGCCCTCTTGAGGCGCTCTGGTGGCCGCCCTGGATTCATCTTGGGCTCTTTGGTGCTTTCTCATGGAGGAAACACCACCCGGACCCCGACAGTTTTCGTTTCCTAAACGGCCGTGGGCGTTTACTGAACAGCCTTGCCCTGTTCTTAACGGTTTCGCCTGTCAAGGTGCTTACGAATGGGGTGGATTTTTTGGCATTGTATTCCTGGACCTAAGCGGCCCATCGTAAGCGACAAGGCGAGAAGGCAAACAGCATCGATTTTCGTCAGGTATTGGCAGGACTGGGGCTTCTTTGAGCCGTCATTGAGAGGCTCAGTGGCCTCCCGTGGCCGTCTTGGGGGTCCTGGGGCCCCTTCGAAGCATCGTGGGGGCCATCTTGAGCCAGTTCGGGACATCTGGAGCCATCTTGCAGGCCATCATCTGCTCGGTGAGGGTTCGCTTGGAGCGACCTTGGACGATCTTGGACGCTTCCACCCCTCCCTGGGCAGTCCATCCAGACCCAGGGGCAGAGGGTGGGGGGGTGGGTCAAGCTAATTACCCACAGGCCGCAAGCTTTCTCGCTCACTCCTGCCCGCCTTCCCAACACATGAGTAGCAGTCGAGTTTGAAGTTACTCTATCAGAGGAGGACAGGGTACCCATACCGCTGTCTTTCGCCCGTTTTCCGCTTTTCGGCCTCCAGAGAGGCCGTCGTCGCCACCGCTGGATTCGCTTCGAATCCTGCCGTCGGCTCCTCCTTTCGCTGGCGGCTCGGCCGTGTTTATTCGGTTTCGTTTTCGCAGTGGCCCCCCCCCTCTTCCTCTGCATGGCTCTGGTGGGGATCGGTGATTTCGCCGTCGCTCTTCTGTCCTGCGCCTCCCAGTCTTTGGATTTCGGATCTGCATCTCACGTTTTCTGGCCTCTGAATCTTCGCTGCTTCACAAAGCCTATTCGAGGTATACCAACCAGTCCTGTTACTTTACAGCTGTGGTTTGGGTTCAGCCGCGCGTTGGGGGAAAAGTGATGTGAGTGTCGGAATGGTAGCCTTGCCTGCATTGGTTCCCTCTCCTTGTGCCCTCTTTGCTCTCGTGTGCGTCCTCCCTGGTGCTCCACCCTTGCCTCTCGCTTCTCCCTCGTCCGTCCGTGTGCTGCCCGTCCGTCGTGCCCGTCCTCTCCCCCCTGCTCTTCGGTTGCGGCCGTCGCTCTGACTCCGCGCTCTCTTGGGCTCTCCATGCCCTTCCTTTGCCGCCGGCCCGTTGGTCCTGCACTGCTGCCTCGGCCTTGCTGACCCGCCGCCGTTTTCCTGCTGCGCGACGCAGCGCGCGTGCGTGCCTGCCGGGCAAGAGAATAAGCATGTGTGCCGACACGAATGGTCGCGCCGACCTGCCACTGGGACGCGCACCAAGAAGCAGCCCCAGGATCCCCGTATGTTATGTTGCTCCCATCGTACTCAAGGACCACATCCCAGAAATAATTTCGAACACCCAGAAAAGTATCAAAGCAGTGTCGAACGAGTATCGCCTCCCAGGGCCCGACACGTGAAAACCATCTGGTTTCGGCACTTTCTTGGTGCTCGAAATGCTTTCTGTTGATCAAGGCTAAAGTAAGTTGGAAATCATAACCCGTATCTTGAACCCACCAGAAGTCTCGTGTTTCAGGGTCTAGGTTTCATTCGGGGGTCTCCTGCGGCCGAAGTCCTACTCCACTGGTGCGCCCACTTGGGGCCTCTGGTGGAGCTCCGTATGGGGCTCGACTGCGAGGGGTGAGCCAAAGTGCCCGTGACAGCTGCAGAGGATGGCTGAGCCGAGGGGTGGCTGGCCGCGCGCGCAGCGAGGATTGGGGGAGCCAACCGATACATCTGGGAGACACGGGGATGAGGAGGGGGCAGGAGGCGGGGTTGCTCCCGATCCACTTCGATCCGTGCGGATCCCCAGGCGCCGGCTACGATCTCGGCCCCGTCCGAGTCCGAGCTGCCGCGAGCCGAAGCGCCCTTCCTGGCCTGCAGGGGCCAAGCACAACCAGCGATCTCAGCCAATCCGATTCCAATGCCGACTCCGCGCCGATCCAGGCGCGCTCCGGTTCGTTGCGATTCAATCCAGCGCGGGCGTTCTGAGGAAGCAAAGGTACCCAGCCCTCTACGCTCCCCTCGTTTTCGCCTCTCTTGGGCCTCCTGGGAGGCCCTCGTCGCCACCGCTGGATTCGTGTCGAAATCCTGATCAGAGGGCAACCTGGGAGAGGTCCGGGGCGTCGGTACCTCTGGTTTCCCCAGGCGTCGGGAGGCGGGAGAAGGATGCGAGTGCGCGGCGCAGCGGAGAGAACGCGGCGATTCAACTAGATAGGAGGCTCGGGGAATCAGGGAGAGACGCAGGGTTTGCGGCGGCCGTGTCGCCTCAAGACCTGCGGGCCGCTGGAGCGGCCTGCATCGGACAGGCATGCTCGGCCCCGTCCCAGATTCCGCGGCGCCGAAAGCCCTAGCTGCGGCGGAGCGGAATCTCGCTCATGTGGTCGCGGCGGTGGGGGTGCCGATAATCGGCGTCGACACCAAGGGCTTCGTGAACGAATGGAATCCCAAGGCAGAGGAGGAGGAGGAGGAGGAGGAGGAGGAGGAGGAGGAGGAGGAGGAGGAGGAGGAGGAGAAGGAAGATGAGGAGGAGGGCCAGTGTAAACACAAGACTCATCAACGATGTTGGAATGATACGTCCCTCGAAGCTCCCTCGTCGTAGGCTCCTACAAGGGTTCACTTCGACAGATGGCACTATCTCGTTGGGAGACAACCGTTTGAAGGCCCTGAATCGCCATGAATCAAACATATTGTTGCGTTTTGACGATCAGGAATCGTGCGAGAACACCATTCTTGGGACTTCAACACCGCGAATTCAACGTCGCGACTCAACGTAACTGCTGCGGTGTTAGGATACTTTAGGATACTGAGTCTTTCCAGAAGACCATTTCTGGCACGTTGACCATGGGAATACGTGATCGTGAAACCCTTTACATTCTGTTAAGCGAGTGTGTGCGGCGCTAAAGCGATATCCACATTTTGAAAAAGGAGCCACCATCAATCCGTGAAGTCCGCAAGTTTCTAACACGAATGTGCGCGGCGATCAGGCGAGAGTACACTTTGAAAACGACCCGCCCTCAATCCGTAACTCCTGCATTGCTTTAGGCTAGAGTGCGCGGCGCCGAGGCGATGTCCACATTTTGAAAACGACCCGCCCTCAATCCGTGAAGTTCTTGCAACTTTTAAACATGAATGTGCGCGTCGCCAGAGCGAGAGCCACAGTTTGAAAGCGACCCGCCCTCAATCCGTGAAGGTCTGGCAAATTTTAGCAACGATTTTGCGCGGCGCTAGTGCAATAATCACATATTCGAAACGAGTCGCATTCCATTTGTGACTATGTTGCCCATTTTTCAGCGTCAGTGTCTTAAAGGGTGTGAAGGTCTCATGCGCAACGCTGGCCCGCCCTTCCGACCGGCTACGGGGTGCGACACGGAGGAGTTTTCTACAAGGAAAAGGAATGGAGGAGGAGGAAGAAGAGGAGGAAGAGGAGGAGGGGGAGGATGAGGAGGTGTTAGAACATAGCTTAGCGACTGGGGGAGGACGGTTGTTGTTCCCAGCTCAGTTTGGCTCAAGTACCCATCATCAGATCGTGTCATGCGTTTATTGTTAAAACGCGCTCCCCATGTTAAGCGCGCGCCCGCGTCGAGAGTGATGGCTCAATTTGAACCCAACGTGGTTGAACGAACTTTGTGAATCCGCGTTCTATGGAGAATGTTACAGTTACGTGCAAGTGACATTGAGAGCCAATCGCGAGGGGAGGACAGAGTTCATCAAGAGAGACCGCAGCAGGGTTTACAACAGTCACGAATGAGGAAAATTATGGGTTGTTGAATTTTGCGGACGGGTTGACACATTCCATACTTGTGTAAACATTCCACCCACCCACCCGCAATTTGGTTTGTAAAACTCATGCGGCGGCGATTGCGATGAGTGCTTGGCGTTGGCTGGTCCAATTTTGCGGCCGCGCTAGACCGTTTATGCTCACGCGCACAGCGGCCAGTTAGTTTGGCGCGACCGACGCGGCCGCGGTGGCGCTGACCGCTGGGCATTTCCCAGCGGGCACTTCAGTGCGAGTCGGTGTCTTTGACGGGCGCGGTGTCATGGCGACGCCGAAAACGGCGGACACGATTATGAGAGTAGCTATGCTGGTGACGATGGTGGCGGTGGCGACGGCAAGGCGCATGACGGCGCCGATTTTGTTCTCGCCCACCCATGACGACGAGGATATTCTCGCTTCGGTGATCAAGGTTTTTGAAAGAGTTCGACATGTGCGCGCGGCCGACGCGCGCGAGTGGCCCGCGTTGGTCTTGCCCCCCCCTCTCCAGCACGCGCGCAAGGGCGTTCTACTGAACCCGGCGCGCGGTGCGAGAGGCCCCCGCGGCAGAATTTGATGAACATGTTGCAAAACCTGAAGTTTTGCCCAGAATCCGCAAGACCGCGAGCGCAGCTTGTTTTTTGTTTTATACAGTTTGCTTTGCATGTTTATTTTATTTTTTTGTCGGGGGGGGGGGCGGCGTTCCTTTTTGAAATCCTGGCGAAACGTAGCGCTTTTTGATGGAAGCCGGCATGCGCGCGCGACGACGTGCGCGTGTGCGCTTCGTCCCATCTTTACAAGGGATTCTTGCGACAGCACGCGCTCAGGGGCGTTCGAGCGATTTCGACATGCAAGAAAGAATCCGCATGAGCGCGGGCGCAGGTTTTTCTTGAGAAGCCTTGTTGGGAGTTCAATTTTTTGATTTGTTTTCTGGGCGCTCGATATTGAAATTCTCGAAACCCAAAGTTCTTGCAGCGGCATGCGCGCGCGACGGCGCGCGTGTGTGCATTTTTTTCTTCCTTCCTCCCCCCTTCAAGGTCTTCTTGAAAACTGGAGTGTGCTGTCAGCAGCCGATGGGGGCATCTGTAAGCTCGGTGCCGGGATGGAGATGCCGATCATGGGGGTGCGGCAGGTTCGTGTCGAGCCGACTTCGGCGATGATGTTTTGTAATGAACGAACAAAGTATGTTTTGCGGAGGGTGAGGGGGGGGGGGAACTCTGGCCTGGCTTGGGTGGTGCGAAGGTTATTTGGTCGGCGGGCTTTGGGGCAGAATCTTATGTGCATTGCATTTCCAGATCGTGGGTCGTTGGCCCGGTTTGTGTGTGTGTGTGTGTGTGTGTGTGTGTGTGTGTTTGTGTGGGTCTTTATTCTTGTAAGAATGGAGAACGAATGACCCAGAACATGTTTGATGGAGCGTTGTCAGTCGTGACATGGGCGCTGCGGGGGAAACGCAAAGACTGCAGTTGAGATTTGAGAACCTGGAAGGTCAGACAAGTGCAGAAAGCCACGACGGACCAAGTACGATGATTTCAGAGACAATGGCAACGCAAGAGGCGATTCCGTGGTCAAGACCAGCAGGAGCCAGTCAGGGAAATCCAGGCCGCGCAGCAGCTCCAGGCGTTCGCTCGGGACTGATTCAAAATATGTGAATGGAATGATCAGTAGTTGAACTTTTTGGCCCAAGGGGGCCTCGAGTGCAGGAGGTGAGCCAGAAACCATAAACGGAACCCTACGCGACGAGGACGACGATGACATGCTGATCATCCGCAACGAGCGGTCAACAGCGACCGTGTGCGTAAACGCAAGCGAAGCAACGCATGCTGACTACGGCGCGAAGGGGTACTTTGATATAGAGGACGACGCGGAACGTAAGCTTGACGAGGATTTGTGGTACGCTCTCAATGGCAACTTTGAAAGAGTAGAGCTTCGGGGGAAAGTATCTGGGCTCCGCGGGGGAGATGGATTGCCGGCGTGCTACAATATATGCAGCTGGTATTTACCAGTTGCTCGAGTGACTCTGTCGGCGAGCATGGGCCTGGCCATGGGCCCTGACCAGCCGCTGACGATTGGGGGGGCGTCGCCGCGAAGTTAGAAGGGTGGGCGGCCCAGCTTGAGACGATGGAGAAGTATGGACTAGCTTGCTTGTCACATCTCCCCTTTTGTCTGAGTGCGCTGAAGACCGAAAAGGCCTGTGCAGGAAGCCTGTTCGAGGGGTGGCGCCAGGGGTGCTCCTGCGGCGCCAGATTCTTTCGCGTCCGAGAACTGCCAGCAACTATATGGTAAGCGTGAGGATTAGGGGCGCCAGAAGCGGTTGGACGCCGACGCGCGGAATCGCGAGTATATGGGCATGCGGGGCGTTGGCGGCAGCGGCGGCGACCGCGGGGGCGCGCGGGGCAGTCGCGACGGATGGAATGCAGCAGGTAGTGCTGATGATGACGGGTAAGGGTGGGCCAATGAGGGAGATTGGAGTGGCGGTGGTGGGCGCGGTGGTGCAGGGGGGGCGGGCGCCGTCAAGGACAAGGGAGAGCGGGGCAGGTATCTAAATGCTACGGTTGCCGTCGGCTGGGCACGTTGCTGCAAACTCCAGGGAAGGAGGCGACGAGGGCGGCGCGAGTGGCGAGATGCCGCGCGGGCCGCGAGTGAGAGGGACGAGCCAGGGCGCATCTGGAAGCTAGAGCAGCAGTGGAGGCAAAGGGCCCAGGAGTTGAAGCAAATGTGGATTCGTGGCTACACGCGACCCTGGGTGTTGCAAATGTGGGAAAAAAGGTTTTCCTTGCGGCTCAGCGCCCGCGCGGAGACCGACGTGGTCCAGCAGCAGCAGGAGGACAAATCGCAGATGGGAAGTTCGTGGGGATCAGGTGGTGCGCCCAGGACTTCGCTCAGCCCATGCCGGATTGTTATGGGGTGGGCCCCCCCAGCGAACCGCCGGGGTAAAATGAGTGGGCCCGGCAGTATCGCGAGCGAAATGCAACCGGGGGATCGAGAAATTAGGTTGGGCGCCGCTCGCGAAGGCGAACGGCTGTTACTCCGCGTGCGCCCGCGGTGGCAGCTGGCCTGGCGGGGCTTGCAAATTTTGCTCGTGGGGACATGCTCGCAGCGCTCATATATTGAGGTGCAGCTGGTAGAAGCGCTTAGAACGCCGCCAGAAGTTAACGCGGCGCCCGAAGGGTAATTGCAGGGGCGCGTAAGATGCTGGTGCATGCCCTAGACCCCAGTGCGCATGGCGCGGACGAACCGCCAGATGCGTGGGCCATTCCCCCGTTGCCCCCGCAAAGGGTCGGCGAGCTGGACGTCGCTATGGCGACGCCCGCGGCGCCTCTCTCGGGAGCCTAGGGCAGATAATTGTAAGGGGGAGTAACGAAGAAGGGTCCCAATTTTATTGGCCCATCCAGGTGGCCGATGTTGAGGTGGTGTTATGATGTGCCCGTGAAGCGGAAGGGGCAGGAGACGAGGTCGTGCATGATCGACGCGAGAAATGGCGGCCGTGCTGCTGCATGGGGCGCAAGGCCACGGCAGAGGGCGGAGGCGCGCGAAAGTTGATGCGCGTTCAAGTTCGATATTGGAGTGCCGGCGGGGGCGCGGGGGGAGTTGCGAGTGGCGGGGGTTTGTCCGAGGCGGGGGGTCCATTCGGTGAGTTTGTGCCATTATATAATGTTCACCGAGATCTTTGAGTCCCTAGCAGAAGCTGTTTATCTCAG